TTGTATACTTATTTATCCTCTTTTTCATAAAATATGTATTACTTATTACCAAACTTCTTTCTACACATAGTTCAATTAAAGGCTCCCCATTTTCATTTACCCCAAATTTACCTACTACTCCCTCCACAGTATTTTTACCCACTTTAGCATTGAGATTCCCAACCACAACTACTCTCTCACTTGGTTCAAAACTCCTCACATACTCAACATTTCCCAAAATCTCTCTCTCTCTTCTACACTTCTTTCTTCTCCAGGTGCATCACACATACTATAACCCACTTTTCACATCCAACCCTTATTATACTCCACATAATCCTTGAATTTATACATTTATATTCTCTCTTTTTCCTGCCATAACTTACTCTTCAACATTATTGCTACTCCTTCCTTAGCTCTAACTCTATTAGAAACCCCTGACCTAATAACATTTATTTCTCCCCAGTGAAACTCTCCTACCCCTTTCAGCATTGTTTCACTTAGAGCCAGGGCATCCAGCTTCTTTTCATTCATAACATCCACAATCATCTTTCTTATCATTCGCACTACATCCACACACATTCAAACATCCCACTTTGATGGCTCTCTTCTTTTTCTTTTTAGTAAGCAATATGGGAAAAGGGGTTACTAGCCCATTGCTCCAGTATTTTAGTTGGCTTTTATAACATGCATGGCTTATGGAGGAAAGATTCTTATTACACTTCCCCATGGATATGAAAGGGTAAGTAATAAGAACAAACACTATTAAGATAAAATTAAAAAAAACTCAGGCGAGTGTGTTTATAGAAATGTCTGCATGCTTGTGTAGTGTGACCTAAGTTAAGTAGAAGTAACAAGACATGCCTGAAATCTTGCATGTTTATGAGACAGAAAAAAAGACACCAGCAGCCCTACCATCATGTAAAACAAATACAGGCTTCCGTTATATACTCGCTTAGCAGTACGGTAATACAGGTCCGTATTCCTTTATCCGATATTCTGAAATTTGAAAACTTCTGAAAACCGAAGTTTTTTCGTGGAGGTGTATAAATGGAAAACAGGAATTAATAAAGGGGATGTAAATAGCATTCTAAAAATATCTAGCCTAGCCTAGCCTAAACCTGACTAGCTTGTGCTACTAGGTCAGATGCTGTGCTCCTTCCTTGGTTGGATAAACATGTTAGGTTGGATAAACATATTAGGTTGGATAAACACATGAGTGAGAGGGGTTGGATTTGAGTGGGACTAGCACATGAGTTAATAGAATTATCAAAGCTTATGGAATGTGACTTGACCTAACTAGGTTAAGGCATTGGCTTAAGTCGGTGGGAGAATTGGACCTGCCTCATGGGCAGTAGGCCTGCTGCAGTGCTCCTTCTTTCTTATGTTCTTATGTGTGGAGTGTCAGTCATCTCTACATAACTCCAACATCTCCATGTGGTGGCTGTGGCAGCCAGAGTGGCGTCAGTTGTGTCTCAGCGCTTGTAGTGTTCACACGTGTGTCTGCTGTTTGCTGAGAATAGCAGACGCATGTTCCTGGTCTATAATTATCCCATTATTTCATTTATCAATCTACAGTGGAACCTCTACTTACGAGTGCATCCACATGCGAGTTTTTCCAGATATGAGCAGTCAATTGATCAAGTTTATGCTTCCAGACGCAAGCGAAATTTCCAGATGCAAGCGGGCCTCAAGGGAGGTTCCTTGATGCTGGTGAGGGGCTCTTGCTCTTAATCTAGGTAATTGAATCTCAGTTGTTTGTTGGACTATCTTATTGAAACTTGGGCAATGCATGATGGAAAGGTGCTTCTTAACGTACACCAAAAATGAAAGAAATCGGAACATAAATAATGGAGTTCACTTCTCAGTCATTAGCCTCCCCTTAGCGGTATGTTTTCGTATGGTTTTTATGGTTGTATTCTCTTTTTTTTTTTTTTTTTCTTACTGATAGAATGGAAAATATACTACATAAATAGATATGATTTTGATTGGTTTCACGATGAAAAGTACCTTGAAATTGAGCTCAAAGTAGCAGAAATGTTCGATTCTTTGGTGATGTTCAAGAGTAAACAAATGATGTCACAGTCCAATACCTGTCCAATTGGCACTACCCCTCAGCCTTCACATATTGGAAAGCTCTTCAACATGCTAGCAAAAGTGGGAGCAGACATCATGAGGTAGCAGTGGCAGACAACATGAAGCAGCAGTGGCAGACAGCATGAAGTAGCAGTGGCAGACAACCTGAGGTAGCAGTGGCAGACAACATGAAGCAGCAGTGGCAGACAACATGAGGTAGCAGTGGCAGACAACATGAAGTAGCGTGCAGACAACATGGTATGCTAGCAGTGGCAGACAACATGAAGAACAGTAGCATCATCATGAAGCGCAGTGGCAGAACCCAACATGAAACAGGCACGTGTCTGACATTTTTGGGTTATCACTAGTTCTCAAACACGTTAGTCAGGAGAGTAATATGGCGCTGTATATGCTCATTAAAACCCTAACAAAACAATGGCCGCTGTCACCATCATACTAGGGTCACATATGTAATGACATCTATTTTATTCATTCTAATGTATATATCATGTTTCTATGTTATTAATATTGTTTATTATGTCGTATTAGATGAATTGTGATAGATAAATAAGCCGTAGAGTTGATACTAGGGATATTATTGAGGATAAATTTGTCATGCCTGGATTCCCCTTGAACATAATAATTCCATATCAGTTAATTTAAATGAGGAAAATTTACTCTGCAGATGAACAAATCCTGATGCGAGCAAGGTCATGGAACAAATTAAGCTCGTAAATAAAGGTTCCGCTGTATTACTCTATAAATAAACTGTAATAGTACAGTGGACCCCTGCCTTACGATATTAATCCGTTCCTGAGAGCTCATCGTAAGCCGAATTAATTTTCCCCATAAGAAATAATGGAAATCAAATTAATCCGTGCAAGACATCCCAAAGAATGAAAAAAAATTTTTTTTTACAACATGAAATATTAATTTTAATACACACAAACTGAAGAAGACATGCACAATTACTACTCTTCATAAATAGAATACATGACACTTACCTTTATTGAAGATCTGGTGATGATTGATGGGATGGGAGGAGGGGAGAGTGTGGAAGTTATTGTTTAGAAGGGGAATCCCCTTCCATTAGGACTTGAGGTAGCAAGTCCTTTTCCGGGGTTACTTCCCTTCTTCTTTTAATGCCACTAGGACCAGCTTGAGAGTCACTGGACCTCTGTCGCACAAATCTGTCCATAGAGGTCTGTACCTCCCGTTCCTTTAAGATTTGCCTAAAATGGGCAAATTGTAATAGTCACCAGCACGGCTTGCAATAGCTGTGTTAGGGTGATTTCCATCCATAAAGGTTTGCAGTTCAACCCACTTTGCACACATTTCCTTAATCTTTGAAGAAGGCACAATGGATTCCACAACTGGCATAGGCTTCTCAGGGTTAGCCCCAAACCCTTCAAAATCTTTCTTAATTTCCATACTAATTCTCACTCTTTTTACCACAAGGTTGGCACTAGAAGCTTTCTTGGGGCCCATGGTAACTTATTTTGCAGTTACAAGCACAAAAAACACTGGGATAAGGTGAAATATACCGAATGTATGTGTGGGTGTGACTGCACTGGCTGGCTTGTGAACACTGGCACCCACAGGGCAGCTGAGGCCACACGTGGGATGCGTCCCAGACGAATCAAGTAAGGCGAGATTTTTGTCGTGAGGCGAGGCAAAATTTTTGCGTTCAAATGCTTCGTATAGCGGATTTAACGTAACACGATGCGTTCGTAAGGCGGTGGTCCACTGTATTTGTAGTCTTTATTTATCCCACTTAGTGTGAGTATTCATACATTTTTGCTGCAGTGTTAATGTTTGATTATGGGGTGCTGCCCTAGACCCCACTTTCATTCTGAAATTTGAAACACTGCTGGTACCAAGTTTTTTCAGATAAAGGGATACGGACCTGTACCCCCTCGGCAGTTGCTGTCTACCAACATACTACCTACCATTTTTGCTTACTGTAAATTTTGTATTTGCTTACTTTAAATATAGATGTCCTGAGTAGTATGTTGGTAGACAGCAACTGCCCAGGGAGGTACTTCTGTCCTGCCAAGTGAGTGTAAAACAGAAGCCTGTAATTGTTTTACATGATGGTAGGATTGCTGGTGTCTTTTGTCTGTCTCATAAATATGCAAGATTACAGGTAAGTCTTGCTACTTCTACTTACACTTAGGTCACACTACACATACATGTACAAGCATATATATACACACCCCTCTGGGTTTTCTTCTATTTTCTTTCTAATTCTTGTTCTTGTTTATTTCCTCTTATCTCCATGGGGAAGTGGAACAGAATTCTTCCTCTGTAAGCCATGCGTGTCGTAAGAGGCGACTAAAATGCGGGACAAGGGCTAGTAACCCCTTTCCTGTATTTACTTAAATTTAAAAGTTAGAAACTTCGTTTTTGTTTTGGGCCACGCCCACCTCCAGTGGGTAAACGGCTGGTACGTGAATGGTAGATGAAGAAGAAACATGCAAGATTTCAGGTACATCTTGCTACTTCTACTTAGGTCATTACATATACGTCACTACATATATATATACACACCCATGTGGGTTTTCTTCTATTTTCTTACTAGTTCTTGTTTATTTTCTCTTATCTTTATGGGGGGAAGCAGAACAGAATTCTACCTCTGTAAGCCATGTGTATCATAAGAGGCGACTAAAATGCTGGGAGCAAGGGGCTAGTAACCCCTTCTCCTGTATAAATTACTAAATTAAAAAGAGAAACTTTTATCCTTCTTGGGCAACCTCCCTTTATGGAATACAGCCAGTTTGTTGAAAGAAGAAATATATATGTAGTAACAGCTATGAGCCTAGCCTTGGCAAATAAGAATAATGCTAATTACAATATTTGTGCATAGATTATCCTGGTTATACCTTTAATATGTCTATCGAATTGTAAATTTTTCTTGATGAAGCTCGTTTTTTGCACTTCTTTTATAGCTGGACCCATCAGTTGACATGATCCGCTCATCTTTGATGCCAGTAATGAAGAAGATCTTGGTGGTAGATGATGGTCTGAGTTTAAAGATGCTTCGAAGAGGTCTTCCACCTGGTGGAGGAGGAGTGGTGGTCTTCACCTGCCCTGTCAGAAGGACTCTGAAATCATTCCAGGTAAATGAAAGAACTGATCATTTACAAATATTGCAGGATTATTATTATTATTTATATTACACCCTCTCCTTGCTTAATGATGGAGTTTCATTCCTAAGACCACGTCGGTAAACAAATTCGTCACTAAGTGAGGAGCATACTGTAACGTTAGTAGGTTTGTGTCAACCATCACTGATATTGTTTTAATGTCACCTTTCTGCCATTTATAACATTTCTGATATATTTTTGAATGTTTATTTAGTAGAGTACTGTATGTTGTAATAAACAGTATAGAAGAAATCAGCTCTAATATACATTATTTAGGTATGCACACTGCTAAGAAAGCCCGTCGTAAGTCCGAGTTGTCGATAAACGAGTACAACGTTAAGTGAGGGGAGGCTGTATTATTGTTATTATTATTATTATTATTATTATTTCAACAAACCAGCCATATCCCACCAAAGCAGGGTGACCCAAAAAGAAAAACAAAAGTTTCTCTTTTCAACTTAAGTAATGTATACAGGAGAAGGGGTTACTAGCTCCTTGCTCCCAGCATGTTAGTCGCCTCTTGTGACATGCATGGCTTGTGGAGGAAGGATTCTGTTCCACTTTCCCATGGAGATAAGAGGAAATAAACAAGAACAAGAACTGTTAAGAAAATAGGAGAAAACCCAGAGGGGTGTGTATACACCTACCATCCAACTTACGACCAAGCTTGGTTCCGACCAACCGGTCGTAAGTCAAAATGGACGTAAGTCGAACCTTTGAAAATTGCCAACATATTGGGTAGGACATAATGTCAAACCTTTCCTATATAAACTACCTACATAGTAATGTACAATCATTATTTCATTCTTTTTACCATAATTTACTTCTATTGTTATATTTTAATTATTTATGTACTGTATATAATGTATACATGGTAGTGAACTGTATTGTAAATTTTACATTGCATACAGTATCATATGTTACTGTTATCTTTATGTATTGTTGACATAGTGGATGGGAGAATACCACTGGTAGTGTCATCCTGCCAGAATGTAGTATAATCTATACCCTAAGTAAAGAGAAACAACTCTGGAACATGTGTAATACGTATCTGGCTGGCCGGGTGGGTGGGTGAGTGGGTGGGTGGCTGGCCAGGTGGGTGGGTGGCTGGCTGGGTGGGTGGGTGGCGGGTGGGGGGTGGTTGGTGGACTGGCCTGGTGACTGGCTGACCGAATGTGGCAGTCTCTCTCTCTATCTCTCTCTCTCTCTCACAGGCACACGTAAGTCAAGTTATCATACATATTATAAATTACCTAGGATAACCCAAAAAATCCAGACAAAGTGCTATACAGTGGATCTGTGTTCCAGTACCCTAAATTAATAATAATAATGATAATTATCCTAGGTAGAAGGTTGGTAGACAGCAACCGCCCAAGGAGGCACTACTGTCCTGCCAATGAGTGTAAAACGAAAGCCTGTAATTGTTTTACATGATGGTAGGATTGCTGGTGTCTTTTTTCTGTCTCATAAACATGCAAGATTTCAGGTACGTCTTGCTACTTCTACTTACACTTAGGTCACACTACACATACATGTACAAGCATATATATACATGCACCCCTCTGGGTTTTCTGCTATTTTCTTTCTAGTTCTTGTTCTTGTTTATTTCCTCTTATCTCCATGGGGAAGTGGAACAGAATTCTTCCTCCGTAAGCCATGCGTGTTGTAAGAGGTGACTAAAATGCCGGGAGCAATGGGTTAGTAACCCCTTCTCCTGTATAAATTACTAAATTTAAAAAGAGGAACTTTGGTTTTTCTTTTTGGGTCACCCTGCTTCAGTGGGTTACGGCCAGTTTTGTTGAAAGAAGAAGATTAATAATTATTATTATTACACTAATACATTGTCTTATACTTAATAACACGCCGTTATTCCAGCTATATAAAATCGGTGCCAATCATAACAACTAAAATTATCTGTTTAATTGAATATAGAGGAGAAGTATACAGACCTTGATGAAACATTTAGTGCAGAGATTAAACACAATTATGAGAAGAATTTGTTCCACTTATGTGTTGGTTAGTTGTAACTAGACCCAGAACGAAATGGTTAATCGAACAAAATCCAAGCGGGTCCGTAATAAACATTCTTGATTGATGTTATATGTTACTAAGTGTTAAGTAGAAGTAGTGGTACCTATATTGTGATGTTTAAACAGATTAAATCGGACACCTCTGCAAACACATGTATAATGTTAATTGGTTGAAGTTTGCATGCATTGGAAGATTTCGGGTAGTCTTTCCTGGTTTGCTGTCACCACCTACTACCTATACAAGTAATCATATGTTATAATAAAAAAAATTTATTATAGCTATAATTATATAACTGTCACATATACTTACCTTATAAATATAGTCTTAATGTAGAGTGAGAGGTGAGTAAACAAGATTAAATGAATAAACGAGAGAGAGAGAATGTAGAATGTTCACAAATTATGTAAACAAATGTTGTTGTTGTTGTTGTTACCAGCCCAGACACGAATGGTTTCTGTTCACTCTGTCAAGCCGACCAGAAAAACATCTCATATTTGTTAATTTATATGTTTATATGTTATGTAGAGATATGTTGTGTATCTTTATATGTGTATGCTTCTAAACTGTTGTATTCTGAGCACCTCTGCAAAAACAGTGATAATGTGTGAGTGTGGTGAAAGTGTTGAATGATGATGAAAGTATTTTCTTTTTGGGGATTTTCTTTCTTTTTTGGGTCACCCTGCCTCGGTGGGAGATGGCCGACTTGTTGAAAAAAAAAAAAAATGTTACGTAGCATGTTTATTATATAATTTTGAAAAAAAAGTCATTGATGGATTAAGCAGAATGTCTATATTAACATTTTATACACATTTAATGCACATCAGTGATTATTATTGTTATTATCATTATTAATATGGCATCTTCAAGACCAACTACACTCTTAATGAGTGGCTCTAAGACAGACAAACAGACAGAAAAAGACACAGGTAGACAAAGACAGACACAGGTAAACAGAAAGACACACAGGTAGACAGACACACAGGTAGACAGACACACAGGTTGACAGACATACAGGTAGACAAAGACAGACACACAGGTAGACATAAAGACAGACACAGGTAGACAGAAAGACACAGGTAGACAGAAAGACAGATACACACAGGTAGACAGAAAGACAGACACACACAGGTAGACAGAAAGACAGACACACAGGTAGACATAGACACACAGGTAGACAAAGACAGACACACAGGTAGACAGAAGGACACACAGGTAGACAGAAAGACAGACACACTAGTAGACAGACAGATAAACAGACACACATATACAGGCAGACAGATACAGACAGGTTTATGTGCAACAGTGAAAACAAATAGAGAGTTGGAGAGTAAGAGCCTTTCTTGCCACAGTCTCCAGTGCAAGATTCAGACTTCATCTTAGGGGCCATGGTGAAATTTACTGTCCAGTTAGTACAGTTAATACAGTATGATGCTGCTGATAGGGCAGGGTTACTTAAACTGATGCTGCCTGCATGGCGCATTGCCGCCGCGAGTATTGTCAAATATTGTACAGTGGTGTGCATCAGCCGGCCCAGCCTAGCTGCCAGATGCACGGTCGTAAGTCGAGTGGACGTATGTCAAGCAGGTTGTAAGTCGGATGGTAGGTGTATATATGTTTGTACATGTAAGTATGCTCCATGGGGAAGTGGAACAGAATTCTTCCTCCGTAAGCCGTGCATGTCGTAAAAAGCGACTAAAATGCCAGGAGCAAAGGGCTAGTAACCCCTTTTCCTGTATATATTATTAAATGTAAAAGGAGAAATTTTCATTTTTCCTTTCGGGCCATCCCGCCTTGGTGGGATATACAGCCAGTGCCGTAATGCAAAGAGAAGAAAGTCATTGAATAGGTGTAGTACTGGCTAAAGTAGTAACCTGAGTAGAAAATGTACTGGGAAATTTTGATTATTTATGAGATTAGTTAAAAAGTACCAGCAATCCACCACAGGTGAAAAAATAACAGTGTTTCCTTTTTACGTCACTTGGCGGGATACAGCTTGTACATTCTGTGTTGCCTCTTACCGCAGGTTTAAGGAGTATTTTCTTATTAATTATTATTATTTTTTTTAAACATACCGATCATCCCACCAAGGCAGGGTGCCCAAAAAGAAAAACAAAAGTTTCTCTTTTTAAATTTAGTAATTTATACAGGGGGGTTACTAGCCCTTGCTCCCGCATTTAGTTGCCTCTTACAACGCATGGTTTACAGAGAGATAAGGATTATTTTCATATGGAGATATTATTTTTTTTTTTTCAACAAACTGGCCATATTCGCACCAAGGACATTGTGCCCTAAACAAGAAAAACAAAAGTTCATTTTTTTAAATTTAGTCGGTTTTTCAAACCATTCATCACAACATTATCCACTGGGTTAGCCGAGTTTACAGAATATTTAGAAATTTTTTTTTACCTTAGCTACTGGGCTGGCTCTATCAAGGCTTTGGAAAGATTATCCCAATCCGATTGTCCAGGTTTTACCTCAATTCCAGTACTACTTATGGCCAATGTAACTTTAGTTGAGATTCACCACGTGTAGAGTTAGAGGGCGCAAGAGAAACTAGAGAGATGTAGGATGCTCCAAATTGGCTTCTAATGGCTGTCCCAAAGCAGTCAGGTGCCCATAGTGTGTTGTCCAAAGTCAATCGGGAACAGGAGGTGCCTAGGCAGGATAGGAGTGGCTGAGTAAGATTTAGATCTGTGTGAACTGCAGATGTGAGATCCTATGAGATACCTCAGGGTAGCAGGTGGCCAGTAGATGGCACTACTTCATTGCCATACAGAGTGAAAGATGACCTTGGCACTATGAAGAAAAAGATTCTCCCTGTTGGATAATTTAGTCATTCCACTCACATAAGCTTAAGTGTAAACACTTGGCCTACACATCCCCTACCCTTCCTAAAACCTCCTTGTTCCTCTGTAATCCTGCTCTGTCATGCCCATCATTAT